ATCCAGATGTTAAAACTTATCAGAAAGTAAACATGTGCATCTCTTCGTGGATAAAAGGACACTTTTCATATCAATAAACTAAAGTGGATTCATATTGATAATCAAGAAACTAAGGGTCTATTTGGAGACATGAAAACTAGGGAAAGAAAATAGAGTAGAAAGAAATTTCAGGGGAAAACAAAAAGTAGCCTCGGTGTCTCGATATCAATAAATTTATTTTAGAAATTTGTTCAAATCATTTATTTATTTATTTCTATAATGAAGACAAGGAAATCTAAACATGTGTAAAGTTTTAGAATGATTGGTCATTTTGGAAACTCCCGATTTCCTTTTTTCCCTACTGTACCATTTAATTGGATTTAAACGAACCCTAAATAATTCAGTTGTATCATATGCGGGTTGTTTTAACAATAACATTTAAAATGGCAGTTTTTCACAACGATTAGTCCAGTGAATAAAATAATAATACCATATATTAAATAATTTATTCCGAGTTGCCTCTTCAGCTCTGCCTGTACATAAGTCCAGTCACCCGGGCTGCATCAAATGAAGAGCTTAGTAAATACATAAATGGAAAATGCTCGAATTCTGATTCCTATGCAGAAAGTATAATGCATCTAAGAGAAAGAAATACTGTCATAACTACCATTCCATAATTCCTTTAATGGTTGTGCCAGAAATAAACATAGTAGTTGTTCTCTTTCAATTGAGATTACTTTTTCATGTATTGTTCTGTATTCACTAAACCTATAAACAACCAACCACCTCTGATATACGGATATACCTTATGTTCCTGATGAAAAACCCTTGTTTTAGATGTATTTTCATGAAGCTTAAACAAACTACAGAAAAACAAAGTGAAAAATATTTATACTTTTAGTGTGTGTTAGGGACAACTGAAAATTTTAGATCATTTCAATTTTTAGTTATTTGATTAGTTGTGACGTAACCTATTATAATTTGAGTAGTTCTTCCTGAAGAGTTGTCTGAAAACAATTAATTTGGTTGCAACAAAAACTAGCTTTTACAATGTAAGCTAGTGCAAACCCACTGAAAGAAAACATAAGCTCTTTAAAAATGAAAAACATAAACCAACAATTCCTAACTTCTAATGAAGCAGCTAAACAGATACAAAAAAAATGTTCTAAAGAAAGCAGAATGTTCCAAACGTGACTCAATTTAAAAAACAACAGAAATTTCTAGAGAGGAAAGGAGAAAATAAAAAAAGAACAAGCTGACCCAAACAAGCACTTAATTTCCACTGGCCAATAAGAATGTATGCAAAATGTGTATATTATACATGTCACTCAAAAGCACTCTTTCTTCTACATGTGCACTTTGTTACGATTCTAAGCTAAATCCCGTCAAATAGATAGTTAAAAGGATTTTAGCATAGAGGAAAACTTACCTTCCCATGATGCCGTGAACAAGGATAAGAAGGTGTTCAGGCTCGTATTCCAAGTCATTTGTGCTACTTTGCGATGCAATGCCTCCTTGAGTTGTATTCATAGCAAAAGCTTTAAGGCTTAGACTTTTCCACATATTGTTCATGTCTACATTAATAAAGTACGACCTTATTTTCTACATATGTTGTATTCGCGTAAGACATATAAATACACTAACAAATAAATTGCTTAATGGTTCTAATCAAGTTAGATTCCGTTCATTCCCCTGCATGTGCTTCACACTACCTCTCCTTTCATACCATCAGGTAGTTAAACATGACATCGACCATAGCATTGGAAATTATTTCATATACCATACCATTGAGAAGCAGAACTGGTTATTTGTGAAGTGCACAGTCCACATCAAATTACAGAATATTATTATGCTTTACTGTTATTAGAGAGGTAAAAATAAAACAAGAAAGAGTTGAGCACTGTCTAGCATACAAATCCGGAACCTTACGCAGAAAGAAAAAAACACGAAGCATGCATTCTACAGCACGACATTATGTATATAACCTGTAATCTTGTCCTTAATGATACCTTTATATTTGGACAACTATCAAAGTAAACAGATGTTACCTAGCCCGGGAAAAAGAACAAAGATGGACTTGTATACTACTATACTTTTCTGTGCACTTTCATCCACAAAGATTCAAACTTTTAATAGAAAATTTGTAGTCAAAGATAGAGAATGCACCGAGGAAAAAGAAAGGTACAACCATTACAGAAATCAAATGTTAATAGCCAAGGAGAAAAGAGAGGGAAGGGGGGATGTATTTTAGAAGAGCCACGGTTGACTAATAGGTATACATTCAATTTTCAATCATAAATGTTCAAACTTCTTAATAACAATTAGATACCCTAAGAGATACAGTATACCATGAACATCTTGTTGTGAAAAAAAATAGGGACTAGCACAACCATATTTTATAAAAAAGATATTGAACAAGGCCTGAAAATGGAGCAAAATTGAATAAAAGCAAGAGATTTACCGGAAAGTCGGATGAATTTCGGATGAAACCCTGGATTGGAAGAAGAACGCGAAGAGCAATAAGGCGATGAGGAGCAAGAACTAGTATTAGAAGTCGGGATAGTGCGAAGAGGAGAATAATGACAATACAATGACGCCATAAATAGAAACGCTTATACACATATGTACCAATATATCTTTATTACTCCGTATATTATTGCCGTAGGGAACATTAAGTAGAGGGGAACACAAAAAGAAAATATAAAAGCAAAAAAGATTGAGAAAGTCACTTTGAGAGATGCGAATAGAATGCTGGTTGAGACCTTCAGACCTCCATTTTCGTCTCTCTCGACCTGTTTATACGAATCTGGGTTCGGGTCGTGTATTATTTGCGGATTGTTTTTTCTTGGTATAGGAATTACGAAATTGGGAATGCTGCTTGACCACATTAATGTATAGTCAGAAAATAGAAGAGATGAGAAGAAAATGCGGCGCTCATCTGCCAGTTGTTTTCTCCGAGTTTAGGAAATCGGTATTGCTGTTTCGCCACATTAATTTGTACTCGGGAGAGAAGAAAATGCAGGCAGCCCTGCCTGCCTATGATATCGATAGATGACTAATAAAAAGTTACTAATGACCAGTAGAGTCCGGCCAAGGATACTTGCAAAATATCCGACCACCGGCGTTCAATTGTACGGTCGACGGGGATAATGGCCGTAGGTTAACACTAATGATTCTTTGCACTAACACCACGTTAACAAAATAAGGAATTAATCATCATAATTTTTAAACATAATGATTGTGTGACTAATATTGATGGATCAGATCTTTTGTCGTACGACAGAGTGCCTTGAACGGCAGTATAGCGATGAGGAGAAGTGGACCCCAATATCTTTGGGCCTTGAAGTTTCGATCAGACAGTCAAGAAGAACCACGCACCCTACCGACAGAGGCTCCAAATCCAATATCAATCATCTCATCTCAAGTTATTCATTTGTTAAATCAAAAGTATACTTAAATGTTCTCTCCTCCTCAATCTTCTACTTCATTCTATTTCATAAGATGTTATCGGTGTGAATTTGATTCAAATTGCTCCAATTGTCATTCTTCACGCATACGGAGTATATGGAATTAATTAAAGTTGCTTCAAGTGGCTTTGAACAATCGCACCATATTGAGAAATAGAGATTGTTTTCTCATATGACATTGATTAAACTAATGTCAATGCAATCTCATGTTTTGCTAAACTCGTTGAAGGTTTGTAATTGTCTGGGTGGTTCTGCCTAAAAGGACAAAATTAATTGTTGAAATATATTATCCCGGTCTACTACTGTTTAAGAGCTCAATGTTTGCCCCCAACGAGACCCGGTCAGTTCGGCCTAGTTCGGCCATCCGGCCCGGTTCGTCCCAGTCGGCCCGTTTGCGACTCAATAGGGTAATATTGTGCCCATGAGCCATTTTCTATAAATAGAAGGTTTTCCCTCCTTATTAGGGGATCCATCTTCTCCACCACCACCACCCTCTCTCTAGAAAAGTTTGGGAGCTCCATTAATGCCTTCCCAGACTTTGATACTTGTTTTATGTAAAAATGGTGAGGAAAAAACTAATAAAAAGAGTGTAGCTTGGACAATAGTCCAAAAAGTCATGTAGTTTTCTCTGTTTTGGATTTTTACGTGAAAAACAAGTGTTCATACATATTTCTATTATATATTGATTTACTCTTTCGTGTTGGATTTATCTCAACACAAGCGTCGTGTGTGAGAAAATATCAAAATGCATACATACATACATGCATGCATACATACATAAGAAAGGAAACATTTTATTAAAGAAAATAGGGTAGTTCAAAGTACAATGCGAAAGAAGGAAAATAGAGAGAGAGAGAGAGAGAGAGAGAGAGAGAGAGAGAGAGAGAGAGAGAGAGAGAGAGAGAGAGAGAGAGAGAGAGAGAGAGAGAGAGAGAGAGAGAGAGAGAGAGAGAGAGAGAGAGAAGAAACAAAAGTAAAGCAACAAACAGATAAAAGCTCAACTCTGAGTGTATGAAAGCCCCATCAAAGGGGTCCCTTTCTCCCTAAGCCAGCCCCATCGAAGGAACCCTTTTCTCCCTAGCTAAGCCCTTATTGAAAAGCATCAGCGCTCTGTGCGAGTTTGAGATCATGTTCTCATACGATGTGAATGTTGATTCCTCGTTCTGTATAGGTATTCATCTGCATATTCAAATTGCTCATAGGCAAGCAGTTATCCCTCATCACCTGCAACGCCTTATTGCAAATATCCAGATTGGTGTCGAAATCCCATAGATCTTCCACCGCATATAAAGGAGTCCGCTTTTTGTTGTCTGAAGTGTGACCTGATAAAAGATCACTCGAGGAGTCGGGCTCTTGGTCTTCTCCACCTGAAAATTCTGAGTGCTAAAAAGGCCAATTAGTTGAGGATGCTTTTATGAAATAATTATTTCTTAATGATAATAGCATAATACATGGTATATATAGTTTAGGAATCATAGGAAATTATAATAAATGCCCCAAACAATACATACGTACTATAACCCCCCCCCCCCCCCCCCCCCCCCAAATCTGTGCGGAAGATATAACATGCAGATTGTACTTAAGATAATGAAAGCGTTGAACAATGAGATTTTTTTGGTAAAAATACCGGCAAGCTGAAAACTGCGTAGGCATGTAACGGACAATTAAATCACCATGAGCCGCACTTTCCAACACAAAATGGCAATCAATTTGAATATGCTTACACCTATCATGGTGAATGGGATTGACTCCTAAGTAAGAGGCGGAGACATGATCACAATACAGGTAGACCGGAGAAGTAATGTGGATGCCCAAATCTGTCAAGATAGACCACACATACAAGGTATTCTGAACGATGTAAGACACAACAAGATATTCAGCTTCAATAGACGATTTTGAGATTGTAGGTTGTTTCTTGGATCACCAGTATATGAGATTATTGCCCAAGAAAACCGTGTAACCAGTTGTGGAGCGAGAGCTATCCGGACACCTGGCCCAATCAGCATCAGAATAAGCCACAATAACAGAAAGAGCAATGTTGGCCCATAACCAAAGTCCATGATCCATAGTGCCCTGGAGATACTTGTAAATTCGCTTAATAGCAGCAAGATGTGAAGTACGAGGAGCATGCACAAACAGAGATACCAAATGAACAACATAAGTAATATCAAGACGAGTCAACATTAAATATTGTAATGCACCAACCATGTTGCGATATCCGGTGGCATCAGCAAGTAAGCTCCCCATCGAGAACAGAAAGAGTGGCCCTAGAAGGAAAATGAGTACCTACCGGTTTGACAGTATGGAGATGAAACTTTCACAACAAATCCTGAAGGGTAATGTAAGTCACCTAAATCCTTCATAGCAAAGGATGTAGATAATCGGGATATAAAACTCGAAACCAAAGAGGACGAGCTACCGGTAATAATAATATCATCCACATATAACAAAATGTAAATAACACGAGAAACATGAGAGTATACAAACATAGAATTATCATACTCACTTTGACAAAATCAGTGTTGAATAAGAAAGCCTTTAAATCTGTGAAATCATGCTCTTGATGTTTGTTTGAGACCATATAAGGCTTTACAGAGATGACATTTGTGATCAGGGTATGCAGGGTGAATGAACCCTGGCGGTTGACGCATATATACCTCATCAATAAGATAACCATGCAAAAACACATTTTTGACATTTAACTGGCGCACAACCCAATTGGAGGAAAAAGCAACAGAAAAACAAGACGAGCAGTAGTAGGCTTAATGACCGGACTAAAGGTCTCAGAAAAATCTACCCCAGCCTGTTGGTTAAACCCTTGGGCGACAAGACGAGCTTTGTGACGCTCGATGATCCCATCAAAAAGATATTTTGTCTTGTCGATTAGCTTATAGCCAACCGCATTTTTTGTACTGTCAAAAGGAACTAAATCCCAAGTATTATTAGTAGTAAGCGCATTAAATTCCTCAGTCATGGCATCCCGCCACTTAACATCTTTATTAGCCTAAGAAAAACATGTTGGATCATCGGAAAAAGTCATTGTACTCAAATTTAATACAATACAAGGTTTAAAAATGCCCGCTTTAGAGCGAGTTTGCATGGGGTGAGTGTTATGAGACGTGGGGGCAGTAGAGGACACGGGTATGACGAAACAGGAGGAGGGTGAGGGCGACAGGATGGAGTCCAAGGTAGGTTCGGTGGAAAAGTGCGGGGAATGGTCCGTGTGGCCAAGAGAGAGGAGCTGACATAGTGAGAGATCGGGAGAAGTTGCAGGTGGGGAAATAGGGGAAATAAGGGGCTGCCCGGTTATGGGTGAAGCAACGGATAAAGTGGGGGTGGAGGGAGTCAATCCAAGCAGATGGAAAGGTGGAAATTTAAGGTTGGGGTGAGGTGTAATACTATAGCCAATAGAGTGCAATGGTCAGGGAAGTATAGTGGTGTGTGAAGAGGGAGATGTGGAGGAGAGGGATATGATATGGAAATTCATCCTCAACAGATTACACATCCCTGCTAACATACATGCGTCATGTTTTCAAACACCGGTATCCTTTGTACTCCGGGGCATAACCAAGATAAATACATATGTACAATTCTCTCTCTCTATATACCCATAAATTTATAATACTCTGTATAAATAACTACTCTCTCCGTCCCCCTAATATTGGGACGAGAGGGAGTGGTGTGGTTTTAAAGAAAAGTAGAATTGTGTGGTTGATAATAAGTTGAAAAAATGAATTAGAGTTACACAAATTTTACCAAATATAGTATGAGAAAATATTAGGGGGACATCCAAAAATGACAAAATGGGACAATTATAGGGGGGCGGAGGAAGTATAACACGATAAAAGTATTAATAGTATAATATTTAAGAAATGAAACACATAGATGGTTTGCATGTTTTAGCTTAGTTACACTTTTCTAAAAGTAGCTTCTCTTAGCATTAAAATTATGCATTCATGTTTTGGAGAATTGTCTTGTAGATATATTTCGATTTGAAAATATGTACTATGAAAGTCGGGCAAAAAGGTCAGCATTATAATTTTAATTACTTTGAAAATATTGACACTTAATTGTTTTATTAGAATATTCAAATATATTCGAAGTCAACAAATGGTGCGAATATAAATATAAAATAAGATTCACTTGCAAGTTACAAGCCTACCGGCGGCCTTGATGATTAGTTTTCCTTGTCACGTTTCGCTGTCACATTCAAATTTTTTACTGGAATGATCCAATATAGTAACCATTCTGTACTTCTTGATGGTAAAGTTCTGAGATATGAGGCAAGCCACCATTGTACTTATGAAGCCCATGTAATATGCAGATATGCTATCCATAATCAAACCAAGCAATCAGTAGGAGGAATGAGGATAGCTCTCTTATTATTCAGAAGGGACCTCTTATAGAGATGCATCCAGCCACCAAGATATGGCACACTACCTCAGCGGTAAGATGCCTCCAACCTCTGTGTAAACCAGGTTCTGAATGTATTTTTCTACTTTGGTTCCATATTCTACATTGAGCCGTTTTTTTCAAGTTTAAAAAGCAGATCCAGAACCTGGTTGTTTTCCATGCAATTTTGGAAAAACTGGAACTAATTTGAACCACTTCAGGTACCTATTCTAGCCCAGGAACAAAAAAGTGAGTTATGTTCTGTTTTTCCAGAACTGGTTTCTCCCTATTTATATGGGAGAATTACTACCAAAGTGTTGCCAAACAGTTAAGATGAGAAAACAACAAATGACCTTTGGAAGCTTCATCTTGTTTGGAATGTGGACACATAAGAATGTGACGGAAGACCAAACTTAGCAAGAATGTAAGCACTGATTTATGAACTTCATCAAGGATGTCAAGTGGGTGTGTGTGTGTGTGTGTGTGTGTGTGTGTGTGTTTGTAGGTGAGATCTTTTGGAAGACATTTCATCTGTCAGTTATGTACCAAACGATTTGATTAATTAGTAATAAATCATTATGAGATGTAAACAAATAATCTTAATGAGGTGAATAATTAGCCATAGTCTAAATAAGACAACACTTTTTGCTGAAACTGAAACCCTGAAAGTGAAACAGGAATAAGTGAATCTAATACTAGTAATACAAAAAAAGTTATAGCAGTTAAAAATCATTTGGGCCAAATGGCAGCACCAATACTTAAACAAACTCGTAGTTTCTTCGCCCTATTTCTGCTCCAAGTGTGACCCTGCTACCCCCGGTAGACTAGCTATACAAATCTGTAAAAAAAAATAAACATGAAAAACAATCATTAAACCATCAACCCACATAGTGTTCTACTAGCATAGAAAATTTTAAACTAAATGTATCAAGCAAATGAAGATTGAGGGAACTTTTCAAATCAAAGTATCATCAGAGCATCACAGCTACAGCACAAGAAAATAGAATTGCAAATTTCATTTAATCAAATATAATAGAAAGAATCACCAATGCACAAATCTGCCACTATTAGTAGGGGACCCACTGTAAGCGTTGGTTATTATTCCAACAATTCATAGAAGTTTATAGGAAAATTCCTTCAATCATCCATACCAAACAAACAGCAAGAAAAGTATCTCTCCCTCCAAATGAAATAGACATAAGCTCAAGAAAATTTCATATCATTATCCATTACCAACTCAAATTTGACACAAGCTGTCAAGAAAGAGTAATATAGTATTATCTTGCACATTAACAAGGATATGTTAAAAGAACGATCAGTAACCAAGTCATCCTATCTTGTCAAAACTACTCAAGCAGAAACAAGCATGAAACTGAAAATGCGTGAGGCCCTGTTGGATAGGGATCCAGATCCTCTGCCGTACGGCAGGGACGGCCAGATAGCAACGAAGGCGGCCTCGAGATCGGCAAAAGAATAGACCCCAAGATCTCCCACCCTTGATTTTTTTATCGGACGATTGTGAAGAGCCAGGCACCCTACCTTGCTCTAAAGCAAGACAGAGGCTCCGGATCCATTTGGATGGAAGATCTTGGCTGTGTTAGTCTATATTTTGATACATAGCATTATTCTTTAGAGTTTATAAAAGTCGAAAGATTAACATAGTATGTGATCGACTAATCGTTTAACATTTTAATCACCCTTTATACATGTTCATAAACATTCTATGTATCAAGATTCAAGATATAAACTTTCCAAAGCCTTTTCCTGCAAAACCCTTAGACCAAACAGACCCTAGATGAAAATGACATCCAGGTTTGCCTGAGTAGAATAGCTCATCTACGTATCTAACCATGCATCGCCATATATTTCATGGGTGTTAAATTAGAATAAAATCCAAAGTATCAAGCACGGCAATTATTATTACTACTATTTTTTTAAAATTGTTACTATTATTATTATTACTATTGTACATAAAAACAACATGTCCCGAGTTGTAATTTCAATGTTCCAACACAATGAACAAAGGGAATTGAATTAGGAAGGAAAGAAGAGATTAAAGAGAGATTTGCTTATAAATATACCATCTGCTGATCCAGAACGCTTGGATTGCTTAATCTTCTCGAGCTGGACTTGAGTGTCCATGTATAGTTGCATCCTCTGAACCTCCAAATCCTTTGCAAACTGCATCCTCTGCTTCTCCAACTCGACCATTTGCCTTTGCTTCATTCCTTCAACCCTCTCATATATTTCCCCAAACCTCTTAATCGCCTTCGCCAGCTTCCTGATTCCCTCATCCTCAGTAATCCCATCACTAGTTTCAATCTCCTCCTCAGATTCCCCCCGCTCATCCTCCTCATCCTCCTCTTCTTCATCCACCTCTTCCTCCTCAGTTGCAGCCGCTGCCGCTGCCGCGGCAGCTACTGCTGAGTAATTCTTCTTGAAATACGAGTCGTCAAAGGCAGGAGCGGGGCGCTTCTGGGGAAGGACCGCCGGATGTGCCACCGCGGGAGGCGTTTTCCTGAAGGGAAGAGGCACTCCCATCGGCGGTGATGGAAACGGCAAGGGTAGAGCTGAGTACGGCGTTAGCGGAAGCGGCAAGGGCGGCGGACTTACCAACATCGGCGAACCTTTGGCGAGCTGATTCTTTCCGGAGTTCCCGATGAGCGAATCCAGGCGGGAGAAGAAGGGCCACGAGGAGGTTAGGGTTCCGTTGGACTCGGCGATCTTGGCCTTCTCCGTCTTGTACTTCTTCTTGAGAGTATCAATCCGGTTCTTACACTGGACATCGGTGCGGTGAGTCTTCTTGGTGTGACCGTGGAGGGAATTGACGGCATCGGCGACCTCCTGCCAGTCCTTATGCCGGAGATTCCCCCGGTTGAGCTCCAAATAGCGGCG